CACCCAGCCTCTGTTTAAAGTCTTCCAAAGGAGGAGACTTCACCAAACGCCAAGCCATATAATCCTAGAGCAGGAAGACACCCCCAAAGACCATCCAGTCCATCCCCATTCTACCATGCAGGAACTCTCCATCAAACTCTCCCCACACAATCCACCCCCCACTCTCAGAACATCTGGGAAGAACTTATTAGAACATCATAGAACCAAATGCAACACGACTTCCCAAAGATCATTCACGGCCGCAGCTCCCATGTTATGGAATGGCCTACCAGAAGAGATTTGTCTTATTACTATGCTACATGCCTTTAAGAAGGCACTTAAGACAGAGCTCTTTCAGCAGGCCTATCCATCTGATCTTCTGGACTTCTAGATTCTGACAATCATTGGCTATTTTATTTTATTTATATTATATTATATTATATGCTCTTATAATTTATTACTGTTGTTTGATTTCACTATTTTATTGTTTGTATTTTGCATATTGTATTCATTTAATTGTGTAATCCCACTTCAATCTGTAGGGAGAGGCGGGAAATATAAATAAAAAAATTATTATTATTATTATTATTATTATTATAGCATCCCCTGTCACAGATGGCCATCCAGCCTCTGTTTAAAGTCTTCCCAAGAAGGAGACTCCACCACACTCCAAGTCCTAGAATCCTAAAGCTGGAAGAGACCTTAAATTGGGACTGGATTGGCATGTTTTACCTAAACACCTTAAAGTTTTCTGGATGCAAAAGCATGAAGAAATTGAGAAATTCAGTGTCCTCTGCCTGTGGCCTCGCAAAGACGGAGACTTATTGGATTGCAAAGGAAGTATCTTTTTTGTGTTGCAAATGGATGCTACATTTCCTGAACTTTGAGAAGTAGTGTACTACTGCTTTTCTGGCATATTAGCATAAATGGAATTTGTAAGCTGTGTTGAAATGCCTGGTTCCATTCATTTCTTTAATTGTAGCAGGTGAAACCATTGCCTTGCTCATCTCCACTGCCAAGGGCGTTCTGTCACACGCTCCTACAATTCAAAGATATAGCCGTGTTAGTTTGTAGAATCAGTATTTAGACAGATCTTGCAGCACCTTTGAGATTAACTGAAAGAAAGAAGTTGGCAGCATGAGCTTTCCAAGACTCAAGTCTACTTCCTCAGATGCAACCATCAACCTCTTTAAGAAACTTGCCCAGGTACAGGCAGACATCTTCTTTCTCAACAAATGCAAGGAACAGGATGTCATTCCGAAAGGCCTGCATGTGAAAAACCCACTACAAACTACATACAAAATTATACATCTGAAGAAGTAGACTTAAGTATATGGAAGCTCATGCTGCCAACTTCTTTCTTTTTCAGTTAGTTTCAAAGGTGCTACAAGATCTCTCTATATAATTTCCTATAACTCACTAGTCTCTCCTTACTGCTTCCTTCATACTTCATCAGTTCTTCATTCTTCCTTACAGCCCTTGATGGAGGAAGAAACAAAATTAATATTTGTTCTAAACCTTAATTTTTATGCTGCTATGCATACAATGCATATAAAATGGCAAAATCAAGGTTTCCTTTTTGGAATATATATATATATATATGTGTGTGTGTGTGTGTGTGTGTGTGTGTGTGTATCAAGCGGTGGATGGTTGAATTCATGGATACAGAATTCGTGGATATTGAGGGCCTATGATACATGCTTAATCTGTGTGCATTTTTTTTCTTTTAATAGAAATATTTTATCTTTTTTATTTATGAATTTTTATGCTACAGTAAATGAAAATAGAAAAATTCTGTCCAAATTCTTCTTCTTGTTGTATGCCTTTGAGTACTTTATGACATGGTGAGGTTTTCTTGGTGAGTTTCTTCAGAGGGGGTTTGCCATTGCCATCCTCTGAGTTTGACTTGGCCAAGGTCACCCAGTGGGCTTGTAGGTTTGAGCAGGGATTCGAACTCTGGACTCGAGTCATAGTCCAACGCTCAAACACCACACTGTACACCCACAAAAATCCCTCAGAATAATGTAGCAACTTGGGGTGCATATACATTGCAGAAATAATGCAGTTTGACACCAGTTTAAGGGGTGTAGCTCCATTACACTATGCCATTGTATTTAATGGGACCTGAGCATCCATGGATTTTGGTATCCACGGGGGTCCTGGAACCAAACCCCAGAGGATACCAAGGACCCACTGTATATTTCTTTTGTGAAATTAAGTACAGGCTGCTAAAGGGAACATGTTTGGTGGTGGGATTATAACCAGTGGCATGCGGCACTTCTATGATCACTTCTATGGAAGTATCATTCATTCACTCAATACAGTTGGAGCTTGCATCTGAGTGAGCATACATAGGCTTGCACATTTAGCCATTTTATTATACCAGCTCATTTATTCCATGACAAATCTTCTTTCGAAGTAATAAAGGTGCATAGCTTGGATAATATGCAGCACAGGAACGAAATTCACTTCCTCCTTTCCTTCCCAGCAGGGCCTTTAGACCTGTCACAGTACAGAGATAAGTGATCTTACTTTCTGTTGTGCAACAAAATGGGCCGAGTTGCATTGCTGTCGCCTCCCTGCTTCCCACAGATGCGTCTAAATAGAAAGTTTCACTTCAACCTGAGCATCCCCACACACACACACGAGGCCACGATGCTCTACTTTACAAAAAGAAATTTCTCCAATGCTGCACATAGATAGGCTGACCATATGTACTGCTTTAAACAGAACAGTACTGGGGTGTTGTTTTTCATATTTCCAGACTGCCCCATCATTTTAATGTAAGTGTCCATTTTTGTCCCGTTTTCAAGAAAAATACCCTGTTATGTTGCAAAAATGGCTTGAAGGTCCCTGTTTGAAATTGTGGTTGTCAAAAAAGCAAACAACAAAAAAAAAACCCACACAAAATTATGTCATGCAATGTAAGAAGTTTCATGATAAGGTGTTGAAAAACCAAAATTTGCTGGGTGAGATGATTTTGTCAGAGAAATATTCATGGTGAAATACAGTCCCTTCCATCTAAAGGTCCGTATGAATTCGGTCACTGAAGAATAATGGTTAGCTCAATATGTTAATGTAATAAAATCTTTTGTTAGTGTCTCACTTTTTCATAAATATGGAATATCACATAACTCCTTCCTGTTTTTGCCATCCCAATGTCCCGTTTTTGTCTCAAAGAAATATGCTCAGCCTACACATAGATCACTTGACCACTGTTTTCCCCACATGGAGGGGGGACTTCCGCGATAATGCTTAACATTCATATAAATTTTCTGAGAGTTCAGCATGCTTTGCATATATATTACCTTGATAATCTTTACATCAGTCCTGCAGGGTAGGCCATGTTACAGATTTGGAGCTGGGGCTGAATGAGAATAGTGGCTGGCATAGGCTTCTTCTTCCCGTCACCTCCTGCAGCTGCTGATGGGAGTAGGGTTGCCAGATCTCAGGGTCTCCAGTTCTCATGAGTCATCTTCAGGAAAGAGACAAGAGAGCAAATTCTCTAGGTTTTGGGTGTGTGTGTGTGTCAGGATTATTGGAGAAAGGGTTGTGTGCCAATCTCCAGCTTTGGAGAGCAGCAACTTGATACCATTTCCAAAGATTGATTTGTTGCAGCAAATTGCAAAGTCTATGTACTTAAGTGAAGTCAAAGGTTTTCATGGCCAGGATCCATAGTTTTTTGTGGGCTTTTTGGGCTATGGGACTGTGTTTTGGAAGAATTTTAAATAATTAAATAGACACACATATCCTCTCACCCTGAGGCCTTGCCATTCAACAACAGACCAACACATGATTTACAACACATGTAAATCACTTTCTCCCAACCAAGGGCCACACAGTATATATACCCCACTCACTTCCATGC